GGGTGGGTGGAGGAGGTGGAGGATAAGGAGGAGGTGGGTGGCAGGAGGAGGGGGGGGGAGGAGAAGGAGGGTGGGAGGAGGGGGGTGGCAGGACCCAGCAGCAATCCCATCCCGTCCTCGAGGGGGAATCTCCAAAAAGCACGGCCAGCATACGGCCTTCCGGCCGCGCCCGCCAGCGCCTCGTTGATCCGCCGTGCCAGCTCGATGTTCGGCTTGGCTCGCCAGGCCTCTCCGCAGGCCTGTCGGCCCGTCCCGCCAGCACCGAGGACGTCTTGTGAAACCCTTAAGACGCACGAAGAACAAATCCAGCACCGAGGACGTCTTGTGAAACCCTTAGGACGCATGAAGAACAGGTCCAGAGGAACTTCTCCCGAATCCCGGGGCGTGCCTGAATCTATTCTTCGAGGAACCTGTAGGATTTAGGAGATCGCTAACGTAGAAGAAGAGAAAGAAACAGAGCCACACACTGGAGCCGCGCTGGGCCCATTTCCCTGGCGCGCGGAGCGCGCCAGGAGCGGCGCCGTGGGCGTCGCCTGGGGCCCCAGGACCCAAGAAATCCGCGCGGAGCGCCAAAAGTTAATGTTTATAGCGTGAGCGTTTCTGTTTCGCCTTCGAGAATTCAGACCCCTTCGAGAACCACGAGAATTTCGAGGGATATCGCCCTCGTTCCTTAGACAATTCTTGGAACCATGGCCAGGTCGGGCATGCCCTCTCACAGGCGGGCTTTGGAAGAAACATTAAAGCGATCCAAATATATACAACATTATCCTGGCGAAGGACCCAACCATAAGCAATTGTTCGTAACGCTGTGGGTGCCGCTGTCGGTGGGGCTCCCCATGGGGCCACGAAACGCTGCCCTGGGTGGGGGAGCCGCATGCGAGAGCAGCCACTGGGGCCTTCGGTGACGCTGCCCTGGGTGGAGGAACCGCATGCGAGAGCAACCACTGGGGCCTTCGGTGGAGCTCCCTATGGGGCTACGAAACGCTGCTGCGATGGGGCCTTCGGTGGGGGAGCATGCGAGAGCAACCACTGGGGCCTTCGGTGGAGCTCCCTATGGGGCCACGAAACGCTGCCCAGGGTGGGGGAAACGCATGCGAGAGCAACCACTGGGGCCTTCGGTGGAGCTCCCTATGGGGCCACGAAACGCTGCCCAGGGTGGGGGAAACGCATGCGAGAGCAACCACTGAGGCCTTCGGTGGAGCTCCCTATGGGGCCACGAAACGCTGCCCAGGGTGGGGGAAACGCATGCGAGAGCAACCACTGAGGCCTTCGGTGGAGCTCCCTATGGGGCCACGAAACGCTGCCCAGGGCGGGGGAAACGCATGCGAGAGCAACCACTGGGGCCTTCGGTGGAGCTCCTGATAGGGGCTACGAAACGTGTGAGAGGTGTGCCGAGAGCAGAGGCAAGGAGGGGGAGGAGGGAGGAGGGAGGGGGCAGCGGGAGGAGGAGGAGCGAACGCGGTGCGCTCTCTTCTCGAAACGAGGACCCAACACCACAGGATGGTTGGGAAATTATCAAAGCAGCACGACAAATCGTCCCAAACCTATTCTTTTACGATTCTTGACTATTCTTCCCGTCGAGGGACACGTCCGAATTACATCTATGGTCAGGTCGGGCGTGTCCCCCTGATTATAAGCGGATTTTGGACGACAAACAAAACATGGTCAACGCACACAAACTCCCCAAATGGCCAACCATACTTCACACATCGTCCCCAGACTATTTCATGCCTACTCTAAGAATATGTCCTCCTGTCGAGGGACGGGCCCGACGTACGCCAAGGGTCACAGCCCAAGGGGGCCAACCACAGCGCGGCAGGCTGTCCCTCCACAGCGCCCAGCGGCGGCCCTCCGAGGGCCCCCCCCGGGGGATCTCCCCGAGACGGCCTGCAGGCGCCACGCGAGGCACCCAGCAGGACGCCCGGGCAGCCGACTGCTGACGCGTGGCTCGTGTGGCAGCCTGTGCTCGCCTCGGGCTCCCATCCCGCCCACCTTCCGCGCTCTTCGGCCCCGAGAGGGCCGCTGCACGAGGGCCTATAGCTCGGAGAGCCCGGCAGGGACCTCGTCGAGGCCCGGGACCGCCGCGCGAGGGCCCCGAGACGGCCCATGAGAGCCCCACTGCTGCCCAGAGACCGGACCAGTCGGTGTCTCCTCCAAGGCGGCCCAGAGGCCCATAACAATCGCTTGCGTGGGGTTCCACGTCCGCCGGGTGTCCCGGGTGTGCCTGGCGCGCTCGGCGCCGGGTACGCTCGGTGCGCCGGGTGCGCCCGCCGCCGATAAGAACAGAATCTGACCTCCCAGGGCTCCCGGGAGCTGCATCCGAACCGATGGGAGGCGGGGGTAGTTTTCGGAGCTCGCCACGCGTTCGTGACCCCACGTGCCCCCGCCGCCCGTGTCAGGCCTTCTTCATTCTGGGCATCGGCATCTGGCCGAAGGGTGGGGGGGAGGGGGAGGTCTGGGTCTTGGCCGGTGCTCCGTCGACCTGCTTCCGCCAGGGGTCCTGACCAGTCGCCGAGAACCAGCCACCCAAGGCAGCCAAGATCTGGTCTCCGGCCATCGCCCGCACGTCCATTCCCTGTGCTCCTGCTCGGCTTCGCGCGCGGCTTCTTCGCAGGATGATCCAGGGTGCTCCTTGACGGTCCCCGCCGAGAGCAAGTGCACGCGGTCCCCGCCGAGAGCAAGTGCCGCGGCTAGCCCGCGCCGATCGGCGAGACAGTGCATCAGAAAGCGGCGACCACCGGGTTGCCCGAGCCGCTGACCGGCGAGGGCAGGCTTCGGCTCTCGCCGCCGCGCGCTGGCGCCAGCGTGGGCCCAACAGCTCCAGACGACGGCCCGAAGGGGCCCCTCGGGACCGCCCAGGCGGTCGCAGCCGCCCTGAGAGGGCCCAGGCAGGACGCCCACATACCCAAAATCGTCGAAACAGCTGCTGTGTTTCTCGGGCTCCTGTGTGCCTTCCCAGCCAACGACTGCATGCGGGGGGACTCCCACTTGGCCTGCTGACGATCTGAAGATGGGCCCTTCGGTGTTGCATGTTGCGCCCCATGGGTTGCCCAATGGAGTCGCTTGTGCCCGCCGGAACTTTCGAATGCCGTAACTTGCAATCGCTGAATCTCGCTGTGCATATGGTTCAACGGGTTGAACAAGTGGGATCAACGCACACCCGCACACGCAGACGCGCGCGAGCGCGCATACACACAAACACACACACACACATACATACATACGCACGCACGCACGCACGCACGCACGCACACACAATCACACACACGCACCCGACACACTCACAACACACAACACACAACACACATAACACACACACACACACACTGTTTGAGCATCGCGACTACGCGCGCGGCGGCTCGGCGCAGAAGGTCAGGCGGATACAAACACACATCCACACACACTCACACATTATTTTTCTCTGACGCGCCCTTGGGTCCAACCAGCGGATGCACGATGGAAGGTCACCCTCAAAGCGAATTAGCTTCCTCGTGAAGCGGCGCAGCAAATAGCGGGAACACACGCACACACACACACACACACACACACACGCACGCACGCACGCACGCACGCACGCACGCACGCACGTACACTCGCACACACCGACAGACACTGACAGACACCGACACCCACACACAAACATACACAGACAAATTGTTGTACTCCGCAGGCGATGTGACAACGCAATCGCGATCAATACTAAGACGGGCTACTTCGCAGCGAATCGCCAACCTGGTTTGAGGACGACATTCGAAAGTGAAAACGACCCTGGGACCCTGGGAGTACGACTCCAAGGACAAGCTTTGGACGTGCACAGTGAACATGGTGGAGCAGCTCGACCTATATTAGGTCGAGACCGCCAGCGTTTACTCGCTGCAATGCGAACACCAAGAGTTCAAGAAGTCACACCAGCACACACATACACACATTCGATAATCAAATGTTCGATGCCCACGCGCTGAAGTATATGTGATGTAATCCCAAACGCATCGGAGAGCCCAATCTATTTCCCACATGGACCCACGAGGGCCCCAATATGTTCCCAATGCGGCCCAAGACGGCCGCGAGGGCCCCTGGACGGCCCCAGAGAGCCTCCAGAGGGGCCCATGACAATCCAAGAGTGCTCCGAGAAGGCCCAGACTTAGACCCAAGACGCCCCATACGACGACCAGGAGGCCCCCGAGACAGTCACGCAGTGCCCCCTGAGGGCCCCAAGACGTCCCAGGGGGCGGTCGCCAATCAAGCCACAACCCAGTTCTCGAACACACAATAGCGGCTGTCGGGGGCGCGCAAGCATGGATTAGCGATCCATGGATTTGGTGCGCGGTCGCCAAATCCATGGATCGGGGGAGATGCCCTCCCCAAAAGGCGGCTGGTGCCGCCTCGCTCGGCGGCAATAATCAGCGATTTCCAATGGAAACGGGACCCGTCGCTAATCCACGCTCCCTTGATCATTGTTTGCGATCGCCTGAGGCTGGCGGTGACTCGCCAGAGGCATCTTCTATCCGCTGGCACGCAAGCGTTGTGGTAGGCCAGCGCTCACACAAAACCTACCAGCTGAGCGCCACAATCCTCAGGTCGGGCGTGTCCCCCCACAGGCGGATTCATGGACGAACAATGAAAAATAGTCAAACAATGCTCACCAATGATCACACAAGTAGTTCAAAAATCGTCTCCAGACTTTGTTCTGTCTATATTTGAATATTACTCCTGTTGAGGGACATGCCCGACTTCACACATGCCATCAAAATAAGGCGATCGGCTACAGCCAGTCCTCATCGAATGGCCCAGACCCCCGACGACCAGGACCATCGCGCTGGATTTTTCAACACAATTCGCCCCCCTCCCTCCCTCCCTCCCTCCCCCCTTCCCTCCCTCCCTCCCTCCCTCCCCCCCTACCTCCCTCCGAATACCGTTTCTGGCCCCCCAAGAACCGTCAAGAAACGCCTCAGGATGAGTCAGTCGTTATGCAGAGGTCAAGAGCAGCAAATGGCCGGCATCCCAAAACAGTTGTCGCCCCAGGAACCGTCAAGAAACGCCTCAGGATGAGCCAGTCCATATGCAGAGGTCAAGAGCAGCATATGGCCAGCGTCCCAAACCAATCCAGTCGTCAAAGCTTTCGTCTGTGAGCAGGCACCGCATCCCAGGCGCACCTGACAGAGTCAGGATGCAAGCAAGCATCGGGAGGGATAAAATTGGCAAAATGCGGCCACGTGCCTCGCCCATGTCCGCATCGTGGTCCACACCTCGCGGGGTCTCCACCATGGCGGTAGGAGAGCAGCTACAAGCGGAGAGGTCCGCAGCATGTGGGAATATGAACAGACTGGTGGCAGCGTGCGAACCACTACGTCAGGCTCGGACGTGGTGTTGCAGACCGGGCAGAAAGCAACCTCCATCTTCCCGAAAGCGGACGCGCAAAATCCGCCATCGTGTCCCCTAGCACGTTGAGGCGTGGTATCACCTGATCGGACAAGAACGAGAAGCGCCGCTTTAGTCCATTGGGCTCACTGAGTGAAGCAGAAGAGAAGGGAGGCGAGGGGGACGAGGAGGCGATGACGAGGACGACGTGGAGAACGGAGAACGTGAGGATAGCGAGGAGGAGCATGCGGACAACGAGCAGGAAGAGAAGCACAAAGACGAGGACGACGAGAACGCGGGCGAGCAAAAGGAGGAATGCGGAGGACGACGACGACGACGACGGAGGGCAGCAAAAGCTAATTGGAGAAGGACGTTGGTTGAATCAGGAGAGGGTCCTGGTGACCCTGTCGGCTACCTTGGGGGCTCCTGGCGCCGCGTGGGGTTGTTTTGGTGCCTAGTGGAGGCTTCTTGGGGGCCTGCCGGGTCCTCTTTTAGGCTTCTGGAATCTTCTTGGACTGTCTGGGCGAGTCGTGGGGTTTTTGGGGGGTTTTCTTGGGCCGTCTCGGCGCCATGTTGTGCCGTCTTTGGGTTTTCTTTGGCCGTTTGGGGGTTTCCTGGGGCGTTCCCAAGAGTCTATTGGGGCCCTCTTGGGGCCTCTTGGGCTTCTTGTGGGCTGTCTGGGTGCGTCCTGGAGCGCTTTTAAGGGTCTTTGGGGGACTTCTTGGGGCGATCTTGAGCGCTCGTGGGCCCTCCAGGGCGTCATTTGAACCTACTTTGGGCCGTTCGAAAGCCCTGGCGAAGCGATCCCAAGACGAAGTCGAATTCGGAGTCCCCTCTGGGGCCGATTTTTCGAAGGTGCCTCGAGCGACACGGTCATTGTTCAGAAACCTGACCGGGCAAAAACTGGAAACGCAGCTCTGTCCACGAAGGTTGTCAAACAACGTCGGGTTGAGAACGTCAAGAAACCTCAGACACGTATTGTAAATGACCAACACAAATCCCATCGGCTCATTGCGATGGTCTGCCGCGCCGTTCTGTCGTGTTGGTCCACCGTGCTGCTGTGGCCTGCCGCGCTGGTCTGCCGTGATGCTGTGGACTGTCGTGTTGGTAGGCCGTGCTCCTGCGGTCTACTGTACTTGTCTGCCGTACTCCTGTAGTGTGCCGTGATGGTATCCACTGCTGCAGTGGTCTGCTACGCGTACGTGCTGGGTGTGTGCTGGGCGGGCGGGCGGAGGGGGAGCACGGTGCGCGTGCAAGCTGAGTGCTTGGCAGTCGGGCGCCTGCGGTCAGCTGTGTTCCTGAGGTCTGGTGTATTCCTTTGTGTTATGCCGTGCTCTCGCGTGGTATGCCGAGCTCCTGTGACGTGTTTTGCTGTGTTCCTGTGGTCTGCCGTGCTGCTGCGTGGCATGCAAGATTCCTGCGTGGTCTGCCGTGCTCAAGCCAACTGCCGTGACGCTGTGTCCTGCTGTACTTATGTGTGTTCTGCGCGTTGTGCCGTGTGTTCCTGAGCTCGGGTGTGTTCTGCCGTGCTCTTGTGTGTTTTGCTGTGCTCGTGCATGTTCTGCGTCAAAGTTGAAGTTACAGACGGGGCCTTCAAGGCGGAGTGGCGGGGCCAAAAGGCCAAGAAAAGGACGCGCTCTCCCGATGGGGGGCCGCCTAGGGCCGCCTCGCGCCGCGGGGGCCGCACTGGGCCTTCACCGCTCGGCACCGCAGGCGAGAGCAGATCTACACACAGAATTCAATTGCCCGCCTCACTCTTCACTTTCGGGCCGCGTCATGCAACGCGCACGGTCCAACAAAAACATCGAGGAGCCGCTGGCGCTCCTCGGCATCTGGACAACCTGCACCTCCGAAGCGGACGCCGAGGGCGCGGGCCTCGGCCAAGTCCAGGAGTGACTCAACTCCCGACTTCGGCCCCTTGGCCGCACACGCCACCGCCGCCACCGACAAGCCGTCCAGGAACGAAACGAACACGCCCTCCGAGCTCGAGTGGCCCTCGCCCTCGGCGCAGTCGACGCTGTCCGCGACCAGGGGCGGCTCCATGTCGTCGCTGACGACGCTGCTGCCGTCCAGGTGCGGCACGACGTCGTCGGCAAACTCGACGGGCCCACGCGTAGACGGCCTCGAAGAGTCAGCATCGCTGGCACCAGCCAAACCGTCCACGCTGGCACGACCGCCAGCACCAAGCTCTGCACTAGCACGTCCCAAGACGGGAGGCAGCGGCGCACAGCCTGCAATACCTCCAGGGACCTTCTGCGCCCCGTGGGCGGCGGCCACGGAGCAGGAAGAAAACCTCACTGCGCCACAAGTGCACCGCATGCCCTCGAAGTCGCGCAAACAGTATGGCTCGGCCGAAGATCTCAGCGGCGTGCGCCTCCGCAGCGGCAGACCGCCCATGAGCTTCGGCAGCGGGTCAGCCTCGCAGATCTCCACGTCGATGTCCAGGCCACCTAGCCGAGAGACGCAAACGCAGTGGTCGCCCACACTGCGGGCACCCTTCTCCTGCGACCCCAGGCGTTGACCCTTCTGGGCCTCCTGAGGGGTGCTGCCGCAGCGGAGGCGATCGACAGCACCCCGTCGGCCTCGGCATGGAGCGCCACGTTGCGCCGTAGCCGCTCCAACCAGGTCGGCTCCCCCCCCCGCACAAGCGCAGCCAGTGCCGGGATTACCGCCTGGACCCGAACCGCCAGCCCTGGCACGCCGACGAGCAAGTCGAGGGCGGCCTCCACCGCGCGCAGGCGGGTCTGGGACTCGCCAGCAGCCTCCAGGGCACGCCGCACGGCCGCATCAGCAGCCGCTCGGGCGCGCCGCGCCGCCTCGCCTCGCTCGCGCCGCGAGCGGGGGAACCGCAGAGGGTCCCCTCCCGTGGCCATCCCTCGCCCAAGCAAGCTTGAACCGAGCTGGCTTGAGCCAAAATGGCTACGGATGTGTTTGTTCTGTGTTATGCCGTGCTCCTGCGTGTTCTGCCGTGCTATGAAAAATCCTGGGGCACAACAAAACCCAACGGATACCAAATGAATCCCAACGTTGTCCAAGGAAACCGAAGATGCCGTAGAGAATCTGGAGGAATCTTTGGGAATCCTGAGGGGTCCAAGGGGCCCTTCAGAATCCCCAAGGACCCCGTGGAACCCCAAATAGAATCCTACAAATCCTGAAGGATATTGATGAATCCGTTGGGGTCCAGTGGGGCCCTGAGAATAAGGAGAACACCTTCGGAATCCTGATGACCTTTGACGAATGCCGACAAATCCGGAGAAGCCCTGAGTATATCTTACCAGCCCTGAGACATCAACACCAACCAAATGAAATCCTGAAGAATACCTATACGACCACCCTGATAAGGAGGTTTGCGGGGGGACGGGGGCCAGCAATGGGCAACAGTGGTGATTGGTGCGTTGCCGCTCGCACTTGGGAGCCTTGGTGTCGAGTTGTTTACGTCATCCTTCGCTCTTGCGCGCCTTGGTATCACTCTCCCCCCCCGGGAACCAACGAAATAATAATCGATCTAACTCATGTTGCAAGGGCTTGGGGGGCCGTTTGGGCGCGTCATTTGGACATCCTGGGGGTCTTGGAGGCCTCTTGGGGGGCTCTTGGGGGCCTCTTGGGAGCCTCTTCGGGGATGGCGCACGCCTGTTGCTTTTCCGGCACCGCGCGGTCGAGCATCGGAACGTAAAGGCGGCGGGGGCGGGCCGGCGGCGGATGCCTCACAGCGTCGCACAGGCGACGCCCCGCGTGCCGAGTGCAACAGAAGCCTTGAACCGAAATCCCTGGATGGTAAAAGAGTTGAGAGGGGGAGAGGACCCAGCGTCTCACTCAATCGATCTCACAATGGACCCCACTATCGCTTTCACAACCGATCTCGCTCGATCGATCACACAATCGATCTCGCTCGATCGATGTCACTATCGATCTCACTATCGATCCCAGACAATCGATTTCACGATCGATCTCTCTATCGATCTCACAAGCGATGTCGTTATCGGTCTCACGATCGATCTCACCATCGGTATCACTATAGATCTCTCTATCGATCTAACAAGCGATGTCGTTATCGGTCTCACGATCGATGGGACCATCAATCCCGCCATCAATCTCACTCGATCGATCTCACTCTCGATCTCATTCGATCGATTCCACGGTCGATCTCACCCTGGATCTCGCTATCGATCCTATTAGCGATTTCCCTATCGATATCACTCGATCTCACAATCGATATCACTATTCATCTCACTAACCCAGAGAAGCAATTAAGGAACCCCCCGGCGTTATCATTAGCACCGCGCCGTAATTAAATAATTATTTGGGGGGGTTTTCGCCGAGCGATATTATTAGCACCGCGCAAATGGAAGGAAAATAAATAATTCCAGCGCCCCGCCTCGGGTGGCATCCCAATTAGAATTGTAATGAGAATAAGAATACGAATACGAATAAGGAAAAGCTGAGAAAAGCTAAGGAAAAGCTTAGAAAAGCTAAGAAAAAGCTGAGAAAAGCTGAGGAAAGCTGGTGTACCGTGACTCCGTGGGACCCGTGCGATCTGGTGTACCCCCTCCTGGTGCCAGGATAACGCTTCCGGGTGCCGGGTGCGTTATCCTTTCACCGGAGAGGGGGGGGGGGTTCCTTAATCGCTTACTCGGGTTATTGATCTCACTATCGATCTCGCGATCAATCTCATTATCGGTCTCATTATCGGTCTCACTATCGATCTCACAATCGATCTCGTCATTGGTCTCATTATCGTTTTCGCAGCAGCGGGACACCGTCGTCGGGACACCGCGCGCCACCGCTTGCCGGAGGGAAGATCATTTGGTCCGGCCGAGGCCCAGCCGCAAGCGGGACACCGGCGGGACACCGCGGTCCACCGCTTGCCGGAGGGAGAATCATTTGGTCCAGACGCGCCTCAGCCACAGGAGACTTTCCTCTCGCCCGCCCACGCAGCTTCGCCTCGCCCGCACGCGCGGCAAGCACGAACACGAAACCGAAACCGGCTTCCCGGTGGGGGGCTCTCCGTTCCACCTCGATCTCACCCCCCAACCTCCGAATTGGGAATCATTTGAGGTATTGGGTGGATTTTGAAGAAAGTTGGTGATTCGAAGGAATTCTCAAACTTGCAAGGAATCCTGAAGAATGCAATGCCGAATCCGAGGGTTTCCACAAGGAACCCATGCGAATCCTGGAGATACTTTTGACATCCTGATGAACGACTTGGAATACCGGGAAATCCTACAAAATCCTGTCGGCGCCCTAAGAATGCTCAGGCGTCCTTCAGGTCCCGGGGCAATGCTGACTACAACCACGCGCGCGCTTAGTATCTAGCCCATCCCATGGCGCTGTGATGACACGAAAGTCGGGGTTTGCGGGCGAATCGCTGTCGGAGAAGGGTGCCAACCGTCTTGGGCCGGTTGTGGGGTATCGCCGTGCGTCGTGCGTCGTGAGTCGTGCGTCGTCGTCGTCGTGGTCGTCATGGTCGTCGTGGTCGTCGTGGTGGTAGTCGTCGGCGTCGTCGTCGTCGTCGCGTCGACCCGAGCCTCCCACATGGTCATCTTTCCATAGAGCATCTGCTATTTGGGAGAGGTTTCTCGCGGCTGGGCTCTCCCGCCCAATGTCAGACGCCCAAGTGGAATTTCATCCCGGAACCTTTTCCAGGGCGAAACTCCATCTGCGCCCCCCCAGCACAAACAACAAAAAACGCTCACGGGGACAAGCTGTCAGGGGTCCAATAAAGCCTTTTGCAAGGAAGGAGCCCAATAAAGCCATCTGTAAGGAGTTCAACAAGGTCTTCTGTAAGGAGTTCAATGCGGCCTTCTGTAAGGGGCCCAACTAGGCCTTCTGTAAGGAGCCCACTGAGAACTTCTGAAAGGAGCCCAATAAGAGCATCCGTAAGGAGCTCAATACGGCCTTCTTGCAAATCTCCCGAAAAGGGTTCCAGATGAATTTTCACCCCGGAACGGTTCCAGGGTGATTCTGGAACTGGCAACAGTGAGCGTCAGGGTGTAAGAATCACCCCCGAACCGTTCCAAGTGATTCTGGAACCTGAAACGTTGGAATTTGCCATCTTGGGCCGTCTTGGCCGCCTCTTGGATCGTCTTGGGGCTCTCTTGGGCCGTCTTGGGGCTTTCTTGGAGGCGTCTTGGGCAATCTTGGGGGCCTGTTGGGCCGTCTTGGACGCGGCTACGACAGAATAAACGAATCAGCTGAAAATGCACGCTTTTTCTCAATCAAACTATCATGGCAAAGGACCCAACCATATGCAGCTTTGCGTACCGCGAGTGTGAATATCTTCTTCGGTAGCGATCCCTGAGGGGCCACGAATGCCATGAGGGCTGTGCCGGGGCATTCGGTGGAGCCTCCTGTGGGGCCACGTAACGTGCAAGGGGTGTGCCGACATTGGTGCTGTGGGCGCATTGGCAATCAGCCACTGGGGCCTTCGGTGGAGCTCCCTGTGGGGCCACGGAACGTGTGAAGGGTGTGCGGAACTGCGTGCGGTGGGCGCGTGCGAACGCAGCCACTGTGGCCTTCGGTGGGGTTCCCTACGGGGCCACGAAGCGTGTGAGGAGTGTACCGAAATTGGTGTGGCGGGCGCAAGCGAACGCAGCCACTGGGGCCTTCTGTGGTGCTCCCAGTGGGGCCACGAAACGTGTGAGGGATGTGCCAGCATGGGTGCGGTCGGCGCGTGTGAACGCAGCCACTGGGGCCTTCGGTGGGGCTCGCTGTAGGGCCACGAAACGTGTGAGAAGTGTGCCGTGGGGCCACGAAACGTGTGAGGAGTGTACCGAACTGTGTGCGCAGCCATTGTGGCCTTCGGTGGGGTTCCCTGTGGGGCCACGAAACGTGAGGGGTGTGCCGAACTGGGTGCGGTGGGCGCATGCGAACGCAGCCACTGGGGCCTTCGGTGGAGCTCCGTGTGGGGCCACGAAACGTGTAAATGCTGTTCCGAAATGTGTGCGGTGGGCGCATGCGAACGCAGCCGTTGGGGTCTTCGGTGGTGCTCCCTGTGGGGCCACGAAACGTGTGAGGATTGTGCCGAAATGGGTGCGGTGGGCGCATGCTAACGCAGCCACTGGGGCTTTCGGTGGAGCTCCCTGTGGGGCCACGAAACGTGTGATGGGGGTGTGCCGAAATGTGCGCGGTGGGCGCATGCGAACGCAACTATTGTGGCCTTCGGTGGGGTTCCCTGTGGGGCCACGAAACGTGTGAAAGGTGTGCTGGAATGGGTGCGGTGGGCGCATGCGAACGCAGCCACTGGGGCCTTCGGTGGGGCTCCGTGTGGGGCCACGAGGCGTGTGAAGGGTGTGCCGAAATGGGTGCGGTGGGCGCATGCGAACGCAGCCATTATGGCCTTCGGTGGAACTCCTTGTGGGGCCACGAAACGTGTGAGGGGTGTGCCGAACTGGGTGCACTGGGCGCAAGCGAACGCAGCCACTGTTGCCTTCGGTGGAACTCCCTGTGGGGCCACAAAACGTGTGAGTGGTGTGCCGAAATGGATGCGGTGGGCGCATGCGAACGCAGCCGTTGGGGTCTTCGGTGGGGCTCCCTGTGGGGCCACGAAACGTGTGAGGGATGTGTCGAAATGAGTGCGGTGGGCGCATGCGAACGCAGCCACTGGGGCCTTTGGTGGAGTTCCCTGTGGGGCCACGAAGCGTGTGAAGGGGGTGCCGAAATGGGTGCGGTGGGCGCGTGCGAACGCAGCCGTTGGGGTCTTCGGTGGAGCTCCCTGTGGGGCCACGAAACGTGTGAGGGGTGTGCCGAAATGGAGAGGGGAGGAGAGGAGAGGAGAGAGGGCGGCGCTCCTTTTGGAGGAGGGAAGAGGAGGGGGAGGAGGAGAGGAGAGGAGGAATGACGCGGGGCACTGTCTCTTCAAAACGAAGACCCAAAACGAACGCCTTGGGCCTTCTTGCAAGCAACTTGAATCCATCTGAAGCCGTCCACAAACAATTTTGGGCCGTTCGTATGCCGGAATTGTATCTTCGACGACTATTGGAGCCGAAACAATCTCCCAAGGCGCCGAAATGAGCCCCAGACCCCCAGGGCGAAAGTTCGAACCCCGGGTTGGGTGGGGAGTTTTCGAAAAAGTGGGCTCCCCCTGGGACCAGGGACCCGGACGCCGCTTATATGATATAAGAAGAACTGCTGAGGAATCCGGAGGAATCCCTGGGCATTTTGAGGAATCCAGCAGAGTCCCCGGGAATATAGTGGAACTTTAGGGGATCTGAGGAAATCGACCCGCAGAAACAATACATCCGCGCTCCCGAGGCCATGATCTCTTAGAACAGAAAAACGGTTACACGTTCACGCGCCTCGTACGCCACGTCACTTATGAATCAGCAACGGACCCGCCCTCCCGAGGATCTGTTCTCCCAAGGCCAGGAACCCTTGAAACAAAGGCCGATTCGCGACCCCGAGGTCACACCCCCTGGAACAGAAGACGTGGATCTGGGCGCAGCCTGCCAACCAGCGAGAACACCAGCGAGCCAGTCTGCCAATCAGCTGACCAGACAGCCAGCCGAATTGCCAACCTGCCAACCGATCGGTCAACGAATCAAACCAACCAACCCAGTCAGGCACGCAACCAGCAAGGGGGGTCCAGCGGCAAGGGGCGAAGCCCTCGAGATCCGCCGCCCTTCGCTCGCCGGGGGCCGGCGGAGCCCCCTTGGCTGTCCTCCGCAGGAAGCCCAGTCGTGGGAGGCTTTCGCCAGACTTGTACTAGATGTGCGTCGCCCCCCCAAGGCGCGACACGCGCACCGAGAAATCTTATAGTATGTGCGTCGTGGCGGGCGCTTTCTGGCCACACGGCTCGGGAAACAATATACTACACTATTGGTATACTATATGTTCGGGTCGGACGCGCGCCTCCGAGCAGGACATATATATTAAGACGTTTCGAACCAAGCCCGATTGAGGAACCAGTGAGCTGAACTAAGCCAGCTTAAGGCCCGGACTAAGCCGGATTCAGCAGGATGCATCCAGATAAAGCGGGATCAATCCATACGAGGCAGGCTTTTGACTATGGATGCACCAGCGCTGATTCTGAATTTGACCTCCCAGGAGTTGTATCCTAACTGTCCCCGTCCTATTGGGTCCAACTCCGTTCAAGGGGAGGCCCTCGAACCCCTCGGAGCCCCGAAAGCCATCACGCGTGGCCCCCAAGGGCCGCGAATGCCTTCTGGAGGCAGCTCAAGAAGGGCGCTAACGCGCCCGAACGGCCTCAAGGACAAAAGATGCCCTCCACACGGCCCATGAGGCCTGCAATACACCTCAAGAGAGCCCCAAGAAGAGAACGGGCCAAGGAACTTCGGTTTACAAAAGCCGGTGGCTCCCTCTACAGCGTTGGGGCATGTCTTCCCACTCTCGCCTTTCCAAACTTCTGCACCCCCTAGGCCTTCCGCGAGGCCCATCACGGCCCAAGAAGCCTCCGAGAGGGCCCATCGACAGCCCATGGGGGCCCCAAGACGGACCAAGATACCCTAACATGCCCCTAAGAGGCCCCCGAGAAGCCCTCAGATGGCTCACAAAAGCCCCAGGAGCCATGCAAAGGCTCCCACGAGGCCGCTGCAGAAGCCTCGGGGAGGCACCCAACAAACACAAATCAACAGCGGCGGGAAACGGCAACACACACATACGACATCGGAAGCCGCACATCTCCACGTCGGGGGGTAGGCACATTGGCGTGAGCCCCTCAACGACATTGATTCCGACGGCTAGCGCAACAATTTAGAAGAGCAGTGAACACCTTGAAATCTCTGCGGCAACTGAGTAGGCGACACACCTACTAGATTAATGACTTGCTACCAGAGGTGTATCCTTCAGAAACCTGCACAAACGCAGCTAAGATGCGCTGAGCGCACACGTTGAGCGCGAAACAAAATCCTAGTCAGATGCGGTCGATGAAATAGTTCTCCTCGGTAGGCTCATGTTTCGGGACACGAACCGCTCCCCACGGACTCTGGATTATCTCGTCATCGCCAGCGATGGTGAGCTGCGCCGTTGAGTGCCGAGCCCTTGCAGCTTGCACAACTAATGTCTTACTGCTGTCGCGCCTGCTGAAATTCATGCCACTCACCGCGCGCTGGAAGTCGATGGCGTCGGTGGCGTCCGAGAAATCCGCCGACCCGCTTTTCGGGTCACCAATGTGTGCGGATGAGGCGTCCAGCACCCTGCACGTTTCAGTCCCCCGTGTCCAATGTATGCTACAAAGTCACGTTCTGCTTCCTACTGGAAAGAGTTGCTGTCCGCGCGAGGCGAAAACCCGCCCGAATCGCGTGCTCAAAATTTCTGGGGGGGGCACTCGGACACGCAACAACAACTTGAGATCCGCGTCCCCGAGCCCATACTCCTAATTACGTACAGGGCAGTTCTTAATACATGGGATTCTAAAAAAAATGAGATATGACCAATGCATAAATCAATTGATGCATGAACGCATCGTTGTTTTGAATACTGAACCCTGCATTTTTAATACATGATCCGCACGCGGAGCCTGTAATAAAAACGGCCCTGTACGTACATTGCTCCAGAATCGCGCTCCCGCGGCCAGAATCCCTAACTTGTAAGTAACCCCAAGCTTGCGCTCCCGACCTCAACCAATCCGTCGTACACTACGCCAGGGTCGCGCTCCCGACGCCGGGATCTTCCATCAGCTTCGGGAGGATCGCGCTCCCGAGGCCACCATCCCTTGTTATTAGATTGTGCAGAGTTCGCGCGCCCGAGGACCGAATCCTTTGCAAATCGCGTCAGCTTCACGCTCCCAAAGTCAGAAGACCCTCTCGCAAGTTGCGCCAGGCTCGCGCTCAGAGCAGGAAACACAACACGTTCGACAGCACCTCCATCCGAAGGTGCTTGCTGGACGCCAGCCATCCTCGCATGATGTTCCAAGAACTGTTCGCAACAACGCCGATACGTACATCCCCCATTCTGATTGGAAGGGGGCCGGCTGCAAAGGGCAAAACCCTTACCGATTGACGAAAGCATATCCCTTGTTCTGGCGCCTGCTCCGCTTCATGGGCATGTGCATGAAGTCGAACTTCCCGCGGAAGCCCGAATCCCAGACGAGCTGGATGATGTCCTCTCGGGGGGTGGACGGAGTCCCCTTCACCCCGCAACGAGAACATGCATACCTAGAACTTCCCTGCCTCCGCGGGGCCCGAAGGTGGGCCCCGCGGAGGCCAAACTTAGAGGAGGAGGAGGAGGAGGAGGAGGAGGAGGAGGAGGAGGAGGAACTGCATGAGCATAAGCTTCCACTGGGCCGTGCAGATGCCTGGGGGCCAGCGCTGGACGCCCCTTCCTGGCGCGCGACGCGCGCCGGGCACGGCGCCAGAGGAGCCGCCAGGGTTAGGTCGGGCATGTCCTCCTACAGGCGGATTTTGGAGGAAACACCTAACAAAAACAAAGGTAGGGAAATAGTCAAACATGTTCAAAAATGATAGAATAATCGTCCCCATACTAGTTTTTGACTATGTTTGAATATTCCTCCTGTAGATGGAGGGACACGCCCGACTTAACGCCAGGGTGGCCCCAGCGTCGATCCAAGGCATCCGCGCGGAGCTCAGGGATCGGAGCAGAGGTCGCAGTGCCACTCCACCGGCAAGAGCGCTGCCCGCGCCGACTCGGCCCTAAGAGCTGAAGAGCTTCCCAGAGACCGAGCAGACTAGAAAGACAGCAGATCTTGGATAGCCAGCCCGCCACGGGGTCCTACAACTGTTGTGGATTCAGCGCGACGTATACCCTGCACAGCATAGCGGGGCTCAGGGTAATTATGTGTATGCAATGTTGCTTTTGCGGAGATTCCGCTTTCGCAAAACGCCCTGTGGTGCAAACGACCTGGGGCCAAGCCCCACCATCGCGACACTAAAACAAGTAACTCGGTGATTGGCCTGGCAAGGTGATGGTTTTACCAACCCCCTGAGATCATCAGTGTCTGGACGAACATGCCGCGACCGAAATTCGGCGTGTGGTCACGAATTCCTGTAACGAGCGAGCCGTCGACGTCCGTCGTCGACACCCCCGCTGGGACCTCGACTCGCCGTATCCTCGTTGCCGGAATTAAAGCTGCTCCAGTCGGGACCGGAATTTGGCGCGACCGAAATCAGTTATCACAAAACTCTAGTCGCGGATGGTGTGGGCACAATGCTGAAGGGGAGCTTAAGAAAATACCGATGGCGCTGCTCTCCCGACCCTCTCCCGAGGCGCGCGCTGACCCCGACCCCGAGGGAGCCGCGGAGGTGGGTCCCGCCCCCCTCGAAGATCCTCAGGACGTGTGCTGGCGCCGGTGCGTTTGTCCACCGAAGCCCTTCCATACGATCACGAGCGGCGGACGTATCCATATCCACGCCCTCGCGGTCTGGATTCCACCAAGGCCGCGCTAACGGCGATATTGGTTAACGGCGATGTTGGGAATCTGGTTTTTGTGACACAGAGCTCGCGCAGAGCAAATTGTAGGACATCGCGAAGCCACACTTTCCTGCATTTCAAATGTGCGAAGGTATCGAGCGAAAACGACGCAGGGAATTGTAGGGAAGCACGAACCACCATGTCCTACAATTGGTTTGGCGACGAACCGGTCCCATCTACAATGCCGAAACCTTCATCGCCATCACCTACATTGCCTTTAGCGCGTCTACGGCTCCAAGGCGCGATCCCGCGGATGCGCGGTCGCACAAACACGCCCCGCGCGAGGCAACCGCGAAGAACGCCCCGTGTGCTCGGGGCCGCGGCCCGGGGAAGGCTGGCCCGCGAGGCCGACGATGCGGCTATGATCCGGTCGGGCATGTCCTTCTACAGGCGCGTTTTCGACGGAAAACAAAAAAAGACCCCAACAATACTCCAACAAATCCTCAACAATAGTAGAGACGTCGTCCCCATACCATTTTTGGACCGTTTTTGTATACTCCTCCTGTAGAGGGACACGCCCGACTTAAGGCGATGTCCTTCGCCCACGAATGCCACGCGGCCAGTGCAAGCAGGGCCAGGTGCACCCACAGTGGGCCAGTCCACGTCCTGGGCATCGCCGCTCCCGCGCGGGAGCCCCAGGGCGGAGACGAACGCAAGGGGAGGGCACCGATTGGCTCGTGCTCCCCCCAACTCTCGGACGGAGCCAGGACCGGGACGAGATCGGACCGGGGGATCCCTGGAGGATGCCTCGGGCGCCGTGGCCGCTCCCGAGGGCGCTCTGGAGCGCTCTGAGAGCGTTCGCGAGCCCTCTGCAGCGCTCTATCCCCGTCGTGGGCCCGCGCGGCGCCGGTCCTCGGCTCCGCACCGGATCGGGATGTTCTGCAGGACGACGGCCAAGGGCGCGCCTGCCCGCCGATGACGACGGCAACAAGAGGACGCCGAGTGCCAACTACGGAACTGCGGCCAGTTCGCGTCGTGACGACCACAGCCTTGGCTTCTGACACCGCGTGGATCCTTCAACCCTGAACGATCGGCGGCCTTGCCATCGCCCGATCGTTGCAGACTGGTCGATTCTGGGTCACTGGCGGCGCTCAGCCTTGAACGCCCGCTGACGTGTCGCTGCCGAGTCGACACGATACGGACCAGCCGCACATTACTAGGCGAAAAACGGTACAACATAGGCTTTCTCGTCGCTGGGGGCGCCTGTCCCAGGGCGGCTGGACACCTTACACCCTGACGTGCCCCCGTAGGGGTGCAACCTGTTCAGCCACCGCGCGTCCCCGACGGCGGAAAATCTACTTTATACCGTTGTTCGCTCGTTAAGTTCAGGCCTGCACCGATCCTGGCCAGACTCACCCTCGGCGCAGGATCGGTGCGCACGCCCTCCTGCTCCGGGCAAGAAGGCGCACCGATCCTCGATCCAGGATCGGCCTGGCCAGGATCGGCGTGTCGTGTCTAGTCGGTGCGCTCGAGACGGAACACGACGGCGACGGCGACGCCGGCGGCGGCGGTGCAGCTCGCCATCGCTGGGACGGCCATTCCCCGTGCACTGTTCGGTTCCATGCGTGCAGTTCTTCGCAAGGTGACCCAACATGTTACTCGATTGTCCTCGCCAGGAAAAACTGAGCACTGACCGACAGTCCTGGCATGCCTAACGGCCTTCCACGGAATGCTTTTATAACATTGTTATGCTCACGACAACCATGTTCTTAGAACGGTCAAGCCAATAGAGGCGCCGCCAAAAGGAACCAACGCGGATCCAAGAAATCCGCGCGGATTTCTACAATTCATGTTTACAATCGAAATCAACGATGAGGATGAAACTTAAGGGTTCTAAGCCCTTGGAGAGCGCCGGCATGAAACAAACACGCGCGCCGAGTTTCAACGACAATCTACAGAGCCGAAGGATGCAAGGTGCCTTTGTAGAGGAGGACCCATCCTCAACGACGGCTTCACCTGTAATCGTGCAGTTTCCCTCCTTCAGAACTTGAAGGATTGGAGACACCGCGCCTGATTTATCCTGGCGGAGGACCCGGTCAATTGCAGTTGTGAGTACCGGCATTGTAACAATCGCCCTTGCTGGAGTTCCCCATGGGGCTACGGAACATGTGAGAGGTGTGCCGAAATTGGCCTGGGGCGCATGCGGGCCCCGCCACTGGGGCCTTCGGAGGCTCCCTCTGGGAGTCACGAGGCTTGTCGGGCCTGGGGACGCCTGCGAGCTGTGCCGCTGGGGCCTCCTTGAAGTGGCCTGCGCGACGCTCGCTGCGAGCGCCGCCGGATCGAGAGAGCCCCAGCACGACCGCCCACGGCGGCATCCGCACCGAGCTCTGCAGGAGCCGCGTGCACAAGGCGCCCCCGCTGGGCTGCCGCGCGGCCGCGAGAAGCCGCAGCCGGCACGCGCCCTCGCCAACGTGGCCGAGAGGGCCTGCGATGCGCGCTCACCTCCGCTCAAAGGAGGCGAGGTGCTTCATGGGCTTGCTGGACTTCGGCTCCAGCCCCGTCCTTGTTGTTTCTGGTGTCCCGCATGCGGGCGTGCAGCGAGGGCCCAGCGGCAGGCTGGCGCGAGCCTCCGAGCCGCCAGTGCCTGCCGCGCTGCACTCTGGCGCAGTACCAACACCGCCTGCATGCCTCTTGTATAACCGTTGGCCGTCTCCAGGCCGTGGCTGTCCGTGGTGCGCAGGGTCCGTCGCCTGACAGAAGCGGTTGCCACTGGAGCCTTCGATTAAGCTCCCTATGGTGCCACGAAGCATGTGACGGGTGTGCCGAGTTGGGCAGGGGGGGCGCATGCGAACGCAACATGTGAGGAGTCTGCACACATGGGTTGGGAGGCCGCATGTGACCCCATGCTGGGGGTTCGATGGAGCTATCTGTAGATGCCGCGGAACGTTTGAGGGGTGTGCCGAAATTGGCTGGGGGACCGCATGGGACACCCCGCCCCAATGCCTTCGGTGGATATCCCTCTGTGGGCCACAGAGAGGGTGCGGAAATGGGCTGGGAGGCCGCAGGCGACCTCCCCCACTGGGCCGTCGGTGGAACTCCCTATGCGGCCACGAAACGTATGAGGGATCTGACGAATTCGGCATGTGGGGGGCAGAGGCGATGTCACGAGGAGGGAGGAGAGGGGACAAAGAGGAACAGGAGGAGGTTGTTGTTGGACGCGGGGTTTTGCCATGAGCGTGCTCCTAATATGGCGGGTAGCCGGTGCGGCGGCACATGTGGCTGAACACCACAACGACCAACACAGCCGGGCTGATCCCCACCGGTCGGGTGAGGGCGGTCATGAGCACTGTTGTGACGGACGCCCGGAGCTTGAACACGACCAGAGCAAACAAGGCCTCGTCCTCGTCATCCTCGTCCTCGTCCTCGTCATCCTCGTCGTCGTCGTCCTCGTCCTCGTCCTCGTCCTCGTCATCCTCGTCCTCGTCCTCGACGTCCTCGTCCTCGTCCTCGTCATCCTCGTCGTCGTCGTCGTCGTCGTCGTCGTCGTCCTCGTCGTCGTCGTCGTCGTCGTCGTCGTCCTCGTCTCGATTCATCTTCGTCCTCGTCGTCCTCGCCCTCGCCCTCGTCCTCATCCTCGCCCTCGCCCTCGTCGTCGTCGTCGTCGTCGTCGTTGTCGTCGTCGTCGTCGTCGTCGTCGTCGTCCCTTCGGAGGCCCTGCGAGAGCACAGCGACGGCACCTTCTGCCAGCGTCGCCTCCGGCGCCCTCGCGGCCGCCACGAATCCCGAGGGCCCGGCGCCGCTGGCGTCGCCGGCGCCCTCGCGCGCGGGCCCCCGCCACTCGGCGTCCAGCGGCGGTGCAGGCGGGGCCGCCGCCGCGCATTGAGAGCCCGCGTCGGCCCGTGCGGCCTGGGTGGGGGACGCGCAGCCCGTCCTCCTCCTCCGCCCCCTCCTCCTCCTCCTCCTCCTCCTCCTCCTCCTCCTTTCCCTCCTCCTCCCCCTTTTCTTTCTCCTCCTCCTCCTCCTCCCCTCCTCTTTCCTCCTCCTCCTTCTCCTCCTCCTCCTCCTCCTCCGCCTCCTCCCCTTTCTCCTCCTCCTCCTCCTCCTCCTCCGCCTCCTCCTCCGCCTCCACCGCGGCTCGCCCCCTTCTCCTTACCCCCTCCTCCTCCTCCTGCTGCTGCTCCTCCTCCTCCTCCTCCTCCTTTTCCTCCTTCTCCTGCTCCTCCTCCTCCCTGTCCTCGTCCTCCTCATCATCCTCATCCTCCTCCTCCGCCCCTCATCCTCCTCCCCATTTATCCACCTCTTTTCCTCCTCCTCCTCCTCCTCCTCGCAGTCTCCTCGTCCTCCGCGTCCTAGCCCTCGTCCTTCTCATCGTCGTGCCCCTTCCCCCCTCCTCAGCATCACAATCAGAAGCCAAGATGAGCCAGCATGCGGGGCGCGCAGGACCACGAAATGGGGAAACAACGGTGATAAGACATTGTCCCCCTTGCAACGCTCCTGCTGCTGCTGCTGCTCCTCGTGGCCCGCGTAGACCACCGCGGCCGACGGCGGTTCGCTAGCGTCGTCGTTCCGACGCGGGGAGGCGGAGGGTCAAGGGGTCCAAGAGCTACCTTGCCATGCCCAGAGGCCAGCCAAGCTGGAGGCTGGCGCTCGGAGGAAACTACATCTGGGGGCCAGCCAAGCTGGAGGCCACCCAAACAACATACCCCTTTGGAACCATTGCCTGGACTGTCACATGGCGGGCTTGGCCTTCGCCGTCCCGGCGCGTGGGGAACTGGGAGCAGGGCTGCAACGGGTGTCGGCATAGGGGGGATTCATAAAAGAAAAGTTGAAGATATTCGTGGCATCTGCTCCTAGGACATCCTGCTCCCCTTGAAAGCTTCGATCTCTATCACGAACTCTAAATCAGCGCTGCTACATCTACAGTTTCCTGCGACCGGTTGATCTTCTCACCTTCTGGCCGCGCCGCTGCCGCTGAAGGGGAAAGGGATGGGGCGCCCGCGACGTGGTGGCACCAGAACCCTTCGAGGCTTAGATTAAACCTTCTGGGCGCCCACTTCAGCGGCGAAAGGTCTTCGCCGATGCGCGCGCACAAGACGAATGCGTTATATTTGGGGTGGCGCGGCTGCTGGGGGGCCCTCTTCCCCCTCCAAAACATGCAATAATATCAGAAATCCTCCGCCGCCCCCGCCGCCCCCAAGGCCAAGGCTGGGCAAGGGATGGCAGGGGGAGTTTGGGGAGGGGCGAAACAAACTCTGCGTGCTCATCCTCGTTGCTGGACCACGGGCTCCAGCCGAGCGCCGCTGGCCGGGCAAGGTTTCCGCGTCTCCCACCCCTCGCCCATCGCCCCCTGCGTCGTCCCGCCCTCCCAGACACTCTTGGCGGCGGGCGCCGAAGTAGGCGCTGCCGCCAGCGCTGCCGCTCGCCGATGGTGGGAGATGGATTTTGGGATGGGAAAACATTAAACAAGGTGATAGAGAAGCTGGAGGGAAACGACCTCGCTTCGAGCTTTGGGCGGCCGTTAGGCGCCCGCCCTCGAAGTTCTGCCACCATGCTCTCGCAACTCCCCTCAACCTCCACGTGCAACGCAAGAGCTGCGAGACATGGGGCGACACAATGTGGACGGAGGAAACCAAGGAAGAGGTGAAGGATCAGCATGCAACTTCCTGCTCAGCAGCTGCATGCTGCATCCTGTCCGTCAAAGAGGCGCGCGGGAGGGGCCTACGAGTCGCGTCCGATGCGCTGGAGAGCCATCCTGCACCTGCCACGCCCAAGGCCGCAAATGTAGAAAGTGGCCTTGCGGGAAGGGCCAACGCTCGTGAAAAAGCTCGTGCGTCCGAAAATCCCTTGGCAGCGCATGCAGAAGGGGATGGAAGCGCATCATTATCGCGCGCGTCTGCATCAGCACTGCAGGTGGCTTCCGACAGGGGCAATTCGAACTGGTCGGGGGCATTGGCGGCGTGACCTGAGTCGGAACCCTGGCCCCCATGTGAAAGAACTCCGTGAAGTAGTTCTGCATGGCGACCTCGTGGTTCCCCGCGTCCGCGCGCTTGCCCTGGCCAATGCAGTGCGACGTCTTGGCCTTGCCGGCGAACTTGGACGGTGGCTGACCTGAGCAACCTTCGCCTCTGCCGAGGCTGTTCGCCAAGACGGCATCTGAGAAATTCGGCGAGGCAGCAATCGGCACCGCCTGCTCCGATATCTTCTGTCCGTCCCGGTGTCTCTCGATTGGAATTATCACTCCGCTCCGCGTTCGCCAGGAAGCTCGTGAGGCTATGCGACTGGGAACCGTAGCATTGCGCCTCCAATCCGTGGCCCTCAACACTCGTCATTGTCTCAACGCCGCTCTCCTTGACGACCTCGGCTTTGCAAGCGTTGACCTCGGCCGCGTCGCCTTCGAGAGGCGGCGGGGTCTGACTGAGAACATCCGCTCGTAGATCGAGGAGGAGAATCTTGATGTCCAGAAGCTGCCTCTGCAGCTAATGGAAGGCACGGCCTTGTGCCTGGTCCCCGTTCCAAGCAAGCTCGTCAGAACTCCATTCCGTGCTGCTTGTGAAAATAGCGCTGGGCCGCAGGGTCCGACTTCGAAAGCTTGGTGTGCGCCTCCAAAATCTCGTCGAACCTCCAGACGACGGCCAGCACGGGCCCTGCACCACCGTTTGGCCAAATCTTGTTGGCCCCACGCCAGGAGGCTCTTTCCGCCCTCTTTTGTGGAGGCCTCCCGCTCCAGGCCCAGCGCCCCGCCTGCTTGCCTGAGGGTGCCTTCGAAGAGTCCGAGAACAGAGCGGTCAGTGCCACTCCCAAGTCCTTCCAATTCCTTGATGCGGTCTGCAGCCTCTTGGGGGCCAGACACGTGAGCGAAACAATGGCCATGACGGATGGCCATGTGCGGCATATTCCGGCTGCGCGGCATCGCGGCTCCAGATATGCAAACACAGTGCTGAACGGCAAAGCCCCCTACTTCAAGAGGGGGGCACAACCGTATAAGGATCGTGAGCATCAACATCCTTGAGCCCTGAGCCCGCCCAAATAGATACGGAACCTCCTCCTCCTCCTCCTCCTTCTCCTTATCCCTTTCCTTCTCCTTCTCCTTCTCCTGCTCCTGCTCCTGGTCCTCCATCACCTACTCCTTCTCTTCCCCCTTCTCCTCCTCCTCCTCCTCCTCCACCTCCTTCTCCTTCTCCTTCTCCTTCTCCTCCTCCTCCTCCTCCTCCTCCTCCTCCTCCTCCTCCTCCTCCCTCGTCCCTCGTCCCTCGTCCCTCGTCCCTCGTCCCTCGTCCCTCGTCCTCCGCCTTCCGAGCTCCGTCCTCCGTCCTCTGTCCTCCGTCCTCCGTCCTCCGTCCTCCGTCCTCCGTCCTCCGTCCTCCGTCCTCCGTCCTCCGTCCTCCCTCCTGCTCCTGCTCCTGCTCCTGCTCCTGCTCCTGCTCCTCCTCCTCCTCCTCCTCTCCTCCTCCTCCTCCTCCTCCTCCTCCCTCCCCTCCTCGTCCCCCTCTTCGTCCTCCTCGTCCTCCTCGTCCTCCTCCTCCTCTTCCTCCTCCTCCTCCTTTTCCTCCGCCTCCTCCTCCTCCTCCTCCTCCTCCTCCTCTTTCTCCTCCCTCCCCCGGGTTCGTCACGATTCGTCGGACAGGTTTTCTTATGTTTTCGGCCTGTTCCTGGAGGTGTTTCTGCCTCGGGATGCGTTCCGGCCGCTGCGCCTCGCCCCGGGGGGTTCTGTGGGGGTGCCCTCCGCGGACTCTCGGTTTGGGGGGGGGGGGCCGTCCCCTGCTGTGGGCCATGGCTCTCCCAGCGGCTTCCTGCACGGTTGAGCGTGCGGAGCCGCGTGGCCCGAAGGGGCCCTGCAGTTCCATGGATAGAGCCAGGCCCGGGCTCCGTGCCTGCCGGGTGGTGACGGACCGCGCGACGACCTCGAACCCCTCAAAGACCTCACCGCACGGCCTGGGTTAGGGGTCCCGACAACCGGGTGCCAGGTCATCCGTTGCTGCAAATGCCCGTGCACACCTTCGCTGGCGCGTGCCATGGCTCTGCCACCCCCGCAAACATCGCCATGAGGAAAAATGCCCGTGAACAGATGCGGCCGTAGCGGCAAGGCGCCCAAAAGGCCCGCCAGAGTCCTCCAAGACGGCCCAAGACCCCTCCAAGACGTCCTCCAGGAGACCCGGAAGCTCGGAAACCACCTGGTCCGATAGCTCGCCCGAAGGCTTTCGAGACCTACTCGGGGAACGCGTGGCCTGATAGCTTGGCCAAGCTCAAACCCAACTTTCGGCCACGCAGGCGCTTCCAAAAAGGCACGGGGCGGCGGTGATTCGCCGTAGGCGTCTTCGATCCGCCGCCCCCCCGTCGGCTTGCCGAACAGGGGTGCCTGGCGTGCTGAAGTTCTGATGTTACCTAAGAGCTTTTTGTAATAAGTTTCTAGCGGTGTCAAAAGAAAGCATCGTGACGCCCCAGGCCCCAGGAATCCTAAGCAATCCTTAGGAATTCTTTGGAATCCTTAGGGATCCACTCCCAGAACACCATTCCCGGGCTACATGTTGAATGCCCGGAACCAACTGTAGGCCACTTCGTGTTCTTCGTCTTCCCAGAACACCATTCCCAGGCCGCATTTTGAATGCCCGGAGCCAGCTGTAAGCCACTTCGTGTTCTTCGTCTTCCCAGAACACCATTCCCAGGCCACATGTTGAATGCCCGGAGCCAACTGTAGGCCTCTTCGTGTTCTTCGTCTTCCCAGAACACCATTCCCAGGCCACATTTTGAAAGCCCAGAGCCAACTGTAGGCCACTTCGTGTTCTTCGTCTTCCCAGAACACCATTCCCAGGCCACATTTTGAAAGCCCGGAGCCAACTGTAGGCCCTCTCGTTTTTTTCGTGCTCCCGGAACACAATTCCTGTAACATATTTTGAATGCCCGGAGCC